TGAGCTAGGTCCGCTGGATATGGCCCAAGCTCCGTCTGGAACCTCTCTGGGTCCATCAGGCGCCTGGGGCGGAACCATCTAAGCGGTTCCTCCTCCCTGCGGCGGGGGGGAGCGGTCCGGAAGTCCAATTGATTTTGCCCCTGAACCTTGGAACTGAGTGAAATGACTGAAAACGCAAACAATTGTCTACTTTCCTATCCCAGAAAATATAGTGGGCCTATGAGATCTGTGGCAGGTTACCAGAACCTATATATTAGTAGTGGGAAGAGCTCAGGGGTTGAATAGCCAGTTTCACTTCTTTCCAATCAGGGTCACCTCCAGATGGCAAGACTTGAATACTTGGAAATTCCTAACCAGCATGACTGAAAAACTCAGGAATTTTAGAATGATATCAGTTATGGATCAAAATATGCTGTGGTTTATTTTTGTGAGATAACAAATCTCCTATATACCAAGGACTTACAGTATTTGAATCCAGTCTTCACTCAAGTTTGAGAACTACAAATTTAATGGACTTTGGATTCAATGGACATTTTTGTTTTGTTTAGATCTCGCTTCCATTTAATGGATTGAGAAATGTCCATTAAATCAAGTGTTTGTCAGTTAAAACATGGTTTTACTGCAAAACACCACTATGCCAATCGCATAATTACACATATGAAATAATTGCTCATAAATGACAGCAATTTGGATATAATAGACCTTTAGATTTAATGGCAACCACCTCCCCTGTATGCTCTCTTCAATCAAGGTTTTAGGGATCCAACATCTTGTCTTTTCATTAATCACCATGACAAGCAACAGGATTGTGCATAAAATGAAAAATACGTTGTATTTAAAATTGGCTAGTTGAAACATGAAGCTCAAAATGATTTGTGTATCCCAGGCATAAAAAATAGTGTAATTTGGTATGAGTCCCATTCTCCCTTGTTTTTCATTCTAACATCACAAGAGTAAATGGGTGACAATCAAGGATATCACCAGTTAACAAACTTGACAAAAATTAGCCAAAGATACCTTTTTTGAAATATTTTAATGCTTTTTTTAAAAAAAAAATCTCCCATAGGGTATATTTGAAACAGTCAGAATTAGAATCCCAACACACCTTGGCATTCTTAGCAAAGAATCAGTGTTCAGCTGAACCCAAAGGAACTTCACCAATACAGAAAAAGGAAAAAAGAGTGAACTGCTCAGATACTATTTTTGTACTAGTATCTTCTTAGCAATGAATAGACTCTTAGCCATTTAACAGCAACAAATGCATTGAATCCTTAAGAAGAACAAAGGAAGCACAATAAGCCAATACAAATGCTATTCTTCACCATGGGTTATTTTTACTGTTTACAAATTTTTCAAAAAAAATTATTTGACTGTAGCCAAGAGCTGCACTTAAATCATTATAAGGTAAATTGCATCTATGTATAAACAGAGTAAAAAGAAAGGGGATAAAGAAAGCTGACCTTAAGGAACAGCCATACACATCTTGAAAGCTCACAACGGGAGAAGCAATCACAGACACTTTGAATCAGCAAAGGTCTGAATCAGCTAAAGAACCCAAGAAGATCAAAGTTCCCCATCAAATATATAACAACATGGGTTTTCAAGTCTAGGTAATTCTGAAAGCACTCTGAACCCAGCACTGGATCAACACAACATACAGAGCGCACATGCATGCCAGACCTCAACAAACCAACATTGTCTTTGCATTTACATAAATCTCTATAGCATTTGCGAGTTGTGGGGAAGCACAGTGCTACATTCACACATGCCTCTCTGCAAACTAAAGCACAGCACAACCCATAAACAACAACCCACGCTTCTTAATACTTTGCTATCACTCCACACAAATTAAATTGGCCTTGACTAGGCCTGCCTCTGTACTAGTTTGTTTGAAAAGTTTGCAAATAGAAACCAGGCACTAAACAACAGCCCAATCATAGTGCTTTGAACAGCTAGAATACCATTCAAAATGGCCATTTTTATGCTAGTCAGAATACATTTTTGGGGTTCCAATCTCAATTCAGAGCCTTTGCTTGTCTCTTGCGTGTGTTTGATTTTGAAGGCAAAACTATAATTTTGAATCAGACTGCCCAGAGGTTGAAATATTTTCACATACCCAGTAAATAGACTCTATGAAATCATTTAAGGCCATCATCTTCAAAGGAAGGAGGAGAAATGTGTTCTTTTTGTTTTATTTATTTATTTTAAATAAATTTTGGTGCAGCAATGGCAGGAGCCTTTAATAGAAGAAAAGGTAACTGAAAATCTATGGTCATGTATGAAATGAAGAAAGTGAAAAAGCATTGCCTCCAATGTATGCGTATGCTAATGCGGAGTCAGAGCAATATTTTTTAAAATAGTCTTCACCTTTTGAATTGTAATGATACTTTATCAGAAGAATAAATGAGCATCCCAAAAAACAAACAAACCTGGAGAGAAATGGGAGAAAATACAGAGCAATCAGTTGGCAATCTGGCCTAGAGATTTACAAGGTGGAAATTCCAGACAGAATACAAATTATGGAAAAATCTATTTTTATTGTGTTTAGTGCTGTGGAAATTAACAGCACTAAATTTAAATATATGCCCAGTTAACATGATGAAATAGTAGACTAGTATAATTTGATAGAGCTTTACTAGAATAAACTAAATAAAATACTTACTGCCAAAAACATCTTTAGTGGCAACAGTTATAATAGTATGAATTACATCCAGGTGTCTCTCTATATATCAAAAAATAAAAAGAAAACTTCAATATTAAAATCCACAAAGCTATTTAAACTTTATGAATGACTCTAATTAGAATTTAAAATGTAGGACTGTAATAATTGTCAGCAACTTTGAAGTTATGATGGTATAAGCTGATTTAAAAATCTAAAATGTGAAAACAATACAAGAAAATACAAAGGCCATAAAAATGGATTCATAAAACTAAGATCTACAAACCTATACACCAGTTATATGTTTATGCATTTAAATAAGCATAGGATTAAAACAGTACAGTTACATTTTGAATGCCATAAAGAATAAATCAATCACTAAAATCCAGAAAAGGACTGCAACACACCAATGTAAATCTTAACATGGTAGTATATTGTTGCATGATGTTTGATTAGGAATATGGAACGTCCAGCAAGTTTCAAACATATTTATTGGACAAGATAATGTTATCATTACAAACTATGAATTTAACATACATTTCTTAGCTTTTTCTAAATTTTCAGGAGCCAGGAAGGTGTTTCAGTATATGCCCAACACTTCTTCTGACTTTTATTAGTAACAGTGAATAAGTGACAATGATTAATCAACCTATCTGTAGATAAATAGACCTTCTATAGTATGCATAGGTTGGAAAGCTCTTGCTCGACTACAAGCTTACTCCACCTAAGCCTATGAAGAAGAGGTGGGGGGTAGCAATGACCAGGCTCTTTTGGTGTTGTACAACAGTTTTCTTTTGAAATATAGCCTCCACATTTTCCCAAAAAACTGCCTGAGACATTTTTTAATTTTCTTAGGTCTGAAAGTGAGATTTTTGGACTTTGTTTTATGACATTTCTGCTGCTTCTATAAGTTTCATTTTTTTTTGTCCTTGGTGTTTATGTTGTGTTCAGATTTCAAATTTTTAGCTTTAATCTCAGTTACCTTTCTACCATAAACTGCCCTGACCACTTTAACTCCGTTGAATGCAATTCAATATAGTTCTGACTGCCAAATTCTACTTCACAAGAATGTTAGCATTTTTTTAAAAAAAAAATCAAATTATACAAAATTAAAAAGAATATGCAAATATAGTTTGAATTTTTTAACTATAGTAATTCCAAAATTCCTCAAGAGAACCATGCTGAACAGTTCTTGCTGGAAATGGATTAAACATTCATACAATAGGCTACTTGCCAAGATTTGTATTTGAGCAGCTGGTGGCAAAACTCCCAGAAGCTGAGGTGAGCAACCCACTCCTTCTAAACTCCCCAACTTTCAGAAGAATTATCTTTACAGAAGCACATCTCATATGAGATCTTCTAACAAACCTCAATTATATTTTTGATAATTGAGCATCTCTATAATTTAACATCCTGCCTGTTCCCTCTCTGGTCATAAACTTGCATACCAAACTTTCTGGAATTATTTTTATTGGGAAAGTGCAGCTCACATATACAATGCAGAGTTGTTCAGAAGGAACAGCCTCTAGACATATTTGCAATTAATCTTAGTTGGCAGCAATCATGTTGTGCAAATATATCCTGGTGTGACCACAAATTTTAGTGTTCAGTTTAAGAAATTAAAACTATTTCAAGAAATGTTCCGTTGTGCTGTGCAATTAGCTCTGCTGTATATTTGGCCTACTATTATTGTAAAGTCAAAAGAAAAATACTGCACAAGGCCACTGATTCTTAAAGCATTGATTAAAGTGTGTCTCTCTATGCCAGTTATATGCAGTTTTCCTAATACAAACTAAGTTCACTTTCTCACATTCTGTGGCTCCCCAGTAGGCAATCTTTTTACTTCATCAACCCGATTCTTGTGAATCTGGAAGGCTGGAGTCACCCAATGGCCACAGGAACACTGCTCACCATGCCAGTGAAAAGAACCCAACTTTGATGCACATTTTGGGCACAGGAGCTACAAGAGAATCAGAGAGAAGGGACAGTTGATATTCTGTCTGCTCTTTCATCTTTAAAAAACAAGCATGGAACATGTGGAATTCTTAACTTTGAAACTTTTGGGGAGTTATGTCAAACTACTGAAACTTGGCCTCTTTTTTTACTGCCCAATTTCACAAACCCTGTACTCCTAGGTGTCTCTTCTTGTAAGCGCACCATTAATGTGTGACCCTTAGAAGACCATTAAAAAAAAACAAACAATCCAGTATGCTTCGTTCCACAGTTTGCTTTGGTTCCTGATTTAAAACATCCTATCCCAATTCCCTTGAAAGCATTCATCTTGTTCCCTCATACCGCCCACCTCTTCCTGGCCTCTTTTAAAAACTTCAGAAAATGTGTTCTCCATCTGGCATTCTCTTGAAATCTCAGAATTCCCTTTTGTTCAATTTTTCTATCTCTCAGTTTCCCATTCGTTGCCCAATCTATACGGGCTTCATATCTTCTACCAATACTGCACTTCTTTCCAGGCCCATGTGTGCCATACGACTTTTCATTTCTTCCAAAAGCCACATCATTTGTTTCCTTGAGAAAAATGGATATGTTTTTGATTTGATGTTTAAATACTGAAGGAAAGGGTGCCCTAGGATAATCCAAAATTAAATACAAACCAGACAATCATCTAAACTTTGTTTGTTCAAAACATATGCTTCCAAACATCAAGCTGATACACACACATAGTGTATATGTATGTGTAATACACGCACGCACGCGCGTGCACGCACGCGCACGGCCAACAACCCAACATCCTGATATAATAATAAAGAGGGCCTACATTTCCATAAAAATTCTTGATGTATCTTTCTTTTTATTGAACATAGTTTACTAGTTAATTTTCCATGAAAGAATACTGCATAGAATAACCCATCCATATATATACTGGGAGATTCCACATGCTTACAATACTCTGTCACTCATAAAGTAGTAGTCAGTGGAACTTTGTTCAGTAATATTTTTCTTTGGAGTTTTTAGATTAGGTACAATTAATGGTCACCCATGGTCTTTTCAGAAGATCTGTAAAAGCATCATAAAGCTAAAATGCTAAAGCAAAAAGATATTTGAAGAGCATATATAAGAATGGCAATTTTTCTTTACAACTGCTATAATAGTAATTAGCAATTTATATATGTGGTTTTGGAGGGTTTATTTATGTTTTTGTGTGTATGATAATGCTGTATAATATAAACACTTACAGATTATTCCCAAGGTATATTCCAAATTTGATTCTACATACTATAAAACCAGTATTTTAAGCTAATGGCACTCTGATTTATGAACCTTTAATACTCAGGCTCCCATTTTGCTGGGTATGCTCAGCATCTGTTGGAAACATGTGGAGTTTTGCAATGAGCAAGGAATCATATATAATGGTCCTTTCCAATTCTATGATTCTATTGCTGGAATTTCTTTGTTCTGCTATTGTTTCATTTAATATTAATAGCCTAGGCATTTGTTCTTTATACAGGTTGCTCTAAAACAATCAAGATGTTAATTTTTCAAAACCAAGAATAATTTCCTTTTCAGTTGACCAAAATAAAGGTAATTATGAAATTATATTATGAAAAAGGTCCCTCCACCCTCCCCCAGCTACATGATAGCACCAACTGAATTTTGTATCAATTATCTTTTTTTCATAATTCTTATTGAAAGTTTTTATTACAATAGTAAAAACAAATGCAAACTAAACACAAAGAAAGAAAAATAGGGAGAAAAAAGAAAAAATATAAATCATCACAATAAGTACAAACAAATTTGATACATCTTCACCCCCCTTAAGGTTACAAACAAATATCTCTTCCTATAATCTATCACTTATCTGTATACAAATCACCAACTTTTCAATTCTGGTATCAACAAAAAGTCTACAGAAACACATCTCTTATTTTATAGAAACATTTCTTATTTTATAGAAATTTGTCTTATTTTAACCTTCATCAAACTTTATATTCATTCCTTTTATTTCTAACTATCTTGATCTTTAATACATTCAGAAATGGTTGTAGGATTTGGTCTCTCTTCAATTTTTTTCCCATTCCAAAAGTTTTAGCAAACCTCTTTTGTAAATCCAGTAAAAAGTCATTATCTGGGTCCTTCTCTTGGTTTATCATTTGTAATTACACTTTGATTTTCAAAGTTTTAACCTACTTCTTTTGTGTATCCAATAGAAAATCATTGTCAGGATTCTCCTATTGTCTCACATTTCTGCTTTAATTGCCTTCTCTATCTTATAATCTATCCTTTTTTGTCATCCAGTATTTCTGATTATACAATTTCTGCATCAGGCAAAATTTGTTTTGTATCTGTCATTCCTTTATTAGCATCCATGGAAGCAGACATCATTGGTGACATTTCTGATAATATAGCTACTAATTTCTGGCCCCGTATATCAATTATATCTTTGAAGGATTCATATTTTAGAGTTAAAGGACAGCAAAAATAGAAAGCAAAATCTTTCCATCCATTAATTTCATGCTGTAAATTACTGCCATAAAATGAATTGGAAATAATTTTACAGTACCTTGAGGAAATCTGCAGCAATGCTGCATCTTCTATACAGACAACGTAGCAAAAATCTGGTGTTTTAACCACTTTTCACAATACCACAATATCTTAAAACAGCTTGTGAGTAGATAATTCTCTTTGAATAGAATTAGTCCTCATTTATCAGTTACTCTACATCAGGGGTAGTCAACCTTGGGCTCTTTTATGACTCATGGACTTCAACTCCCAGAATTCCTGAGTCAGCTATGCTGGCTCAGGAATTCTGGGAGTTGAAGTCCACGAGTCATAAAAGAGCCAAGGTTGACTACCCCTGCTCTACATGATGTCCAAGCTCTACTATATACAGATTGAATGAGCCTTGGGGCCAGAGTAATGCAGCTTCAATTCTATTGTGGATCATGATTTGAGTTAGGGATGATTCACTTCAACGTGGCCCATGCCATCTGTTGTCAAACTCGTCAGAAAGCTAAACAGAATGAACAGTATCAGGAAGGATAGGTGACTCCTTTTTCTAACATAGGCCAACCTTCAGCAAACTTACCTGGATGACAGAGGAGTTAAGCATACTTCCCTCCATCTAGTATGCAAGCTCCAGATGCTTTCCCCATATTCAAATTATTTAATGTATATAATAACATTTAAATAGGTCACAGCCTTTGTTCAGCTTTTAGCAAAGCAGCAACTATTCTGACCTTCTTCAAAATAGAAGTCTCAGATTCTTTTCCTCACCTGTCCTTCCAAAACTCCTAACAGTGCTGCCTCCATCCACTGCACTGGCTCAATAAAGTAAGAAGTACAGTTTGTTTGACCAGCACGGCCTAAAGGTCCAGGCTCTGAAACTTTTTTGTGAGCAAATGCTGCAGGTCCTTTGCCTTCGTCATGGGGCAAAATGCTTGAATTTCGGAACAGCAAACGCCTGTTTATCAAAAGGAAAAGAGCAAAAATCATTTGAAAGGATACCCAAGCAGCATTGCTACCTGACATCTGAAATGGTTTTTTTTTTACTTATTAGAACAAATGAGGTGGAAAAGAAATATATACACATAATCCTCGACTTACAAGTTCCTTCAGTGACCGTTCGAAGTTACAATGGCACTGAAAAAAGTGACTTATGACCATTGCAGCATCCCTGTGATCATGTGATTTACATTTGAATGCTTGACAACTGGTTCATATTTATGACCGTTGCAGTGTCCCAGGGTCACGTGATCACCTTTTCTGACCTTCCGACAAGCAAAGTCATTGGGGAAACCGGATTCACTTAACAACCGTGTTACTAACTTAACAACTGCAGTGATCCACTTAATTGTGACAAGAACATAAAATGGGGCAAAATTCACAATGAATTTCTCACTTAACAATGTACATTTTGGGCTCAATTGTGGTCGTAAGTCAAGGACTACCTGTGAACACAGCAAACCTGATCTAAAAAAGTTTCATTGTAAGAATTATACTTTTTAAAATAAATATTTTCTCATTTTCTTCATTGAAGCATAATGGCCCCATTTTCAAATGGCATGGAATTCCCACGTACTTTAGAGAAAACTAAATGATAAAGCACTTACCAGCCGTGAGGGGACTATTTTCAGTAACCAGTTAACTTGAATTATCACTAGATGGAGAACTACCTACTGAGCAGGCCCACAACATATAGATTAAAATAGTATTGCTGGATTTGGATCTCCTTATATCCCTTGCATATTGTTAAGCCACCATATCAGAATGAACCCATTTCCTTTTTAATATACTGTTCAGATTTTAATTATCTTATTAGAAAACATTTACCAGCTCATCCATCCACTATTCAATACCACCGACAATAAAAGTTCTCCAAGAGGTGTGGATTTCCTTCACAGGCAGCAATAACTTGCTCTTGTCTTCAAATTCCTTGCTACCATCCCAAATAATCCATAGTTAAAACAGAAAACTGATTTACTTTTAGTTTGAAATGTCTTTGATACATTGCAACACTATTTCTGGCAATAAGCTTCAATCTCAGGTGCACCCCCTACCCCATCTTTTCCATCAATCACTATGACATTCAGTGTTGATATACTACAGACAACAAGCAGGACCTGATTAGAGAAGACCTATGTCTTTCATAACCAGATCACCACTATTTTAGGATTGAATTCTAACCAACCCAGTCTTCAACATTTCAACATAGATCCATTTAACCATGGGTTTTTTTGCAAGATAAACTACCCTTTTGGTAGCTATTGGGTCTAACTATGTACAATACAGAACCATGTATGATAAGAACATTCAGTTGCAAGCAAAAATTACATTTTTTTCAATAAATCTGTAAGTGAACAAAAACTAACACAACTCCACATGGTAAAAATTTAAACATTACCACTTTCTGCAAAAATCTCTGCTAAAATTACCCCAAACTGGTCAGATCTACAAAACAGAACCAATGGACCACTATAAGTCACCAGTGATTTGGACTAATGAAACGAACAATGAACTCTTTGGCTACACAAAATTCTTTTGGAGAAAAAGAACACTTTACCCAACTTTTAAGTATCGGGGTGGCTCTATTATGCTTTCGGGTTGCATCACAGCTAATGGTAAAATATTATACATGTGAGAAAAAAATGGATTCTACTAATTATCAACATATTCAAGAAGCAAGAGGCCGGCAGTCAATGAAGAAACTGAAGCAGAAAAGAGGTTGGTTATTTCAACCAAACATCAGTCTGAAACATATCTCTAAATCAACCATGAAACACAATTAAAAAAGAAAGCTAAAATGAAGGGGGGAGGGGAGGAAAATAAATAATGGCTTTCACAGTCCCCAGACTTGCGTATCTATAGGGAGATCTATTTGCAGAAATATGTTTATATCATACTAGCTGTACCCGGCCACACGTTGCTGTGGCTCAGTCTGGTTAAATGGAAAAGAAAGAAAAGAGAAAGCGCATGTTTGTAATATGTTTAATTTCACAATGCTAGCATGTGTTGCTTTTACGTCCAACAGATGGCGCTGTTTTTCAAAAAAAGTATGTTTTACCTGTCACAGATGTGACATCTATATAATAGTAGGTATAAGGTATATAAAAACATGCGCGTATTCGAATGCAACGTTGTGTCAAAATTTCAAAGCAATCGGTGAAGAACTTTCAGAGATTTAAGATTTTGAACGTTTTTATTTATATAGAAGAGCTGTGTCAACTGCTATTCACCAGGGACTCACTGAAACATACAGTACACTCCGACCCCAATTTTTATATGCAACTGTTATTAGCTGTAAAGTTTTCTCAAAAAGTCCTTTTGCCTAGACTATCATTAATTCAACATTTAGTCTGTTTAAATCCCCAAGCAATTTAACTGCATTTAAAGTTAGCCCCCTTGGTCGCAAAAGTGCTAGAGCTCGGGAAACTGCTATAAACTGATCTCATAAGATACTATTCAATAAATGCTCCTCTGGAACCACGTACCTGCATTTCCTGCACCTGTACAGAATGTCATGATTTGGGATTTGATGTACTGTGTTTGGATCAATTGCGAAGAGATGACCAAGCAAGCCTTCTGTCTCTGAAAACCAGAAACAACGAGTTTATACTGTATACTTATAATGAAGCATCTCTGAAAGTTTAGAGCACTTCTTTATTGCAGGTATTTACATGTAGTCCTACAGCAATATTCCCACAGAAGTGTACAATAAAACACGTCTTAAAAGGATGGTTTAAAGCTGCAACAATTTATCCCAATAGGGCTTTAAAAGAACTAATATAGCTAAAATCTCCCAAGTAAGATTTTAGCCTTTATTAAAATAAGTCCACCAGGGTAACCATAACATTTCCAATTCAATATTCAGATACCACTTTTATGAGAATGCTGGGAGAAAAAAACACATAAAAATGTAATTAGCCATGTTTGCCCATGTAAAAAATTCAAAGGAGCAGCAACACTGTAATACTTATATTAGGTTCAAGAAAAGGTGACAAAACATTTTGCATTTGTCTAAAAATTTTACAGATGAATTAAAGAGAAGATATTTTGCCACAGTACAATAAGCTTTAGGTTGTCTCAGAGGCAATGACTATTCCATTGACAAGACCAACAATTCCTGGCAATTATTTAAGAATCTGCCTTTCGCTTTTTTTTTTTGCTTCAGTTTCAACCAGTTTAGAATCCTCAAAATGTTAATGCTTAATCATTAGTTCTTTTCTCGTGAAAAAAGGTGATAAAAATGCAGTGAATAGGATTAGTTTGGTTCTTTTGTAATATTGTGTAACACATATGACAAGTTCAACATAAAATATGGAAAGGGATATAAAAGAATGTTTTATTATTTTCAATATCAGCATGGTCTAGTCCAGGGCTTTTCAACCTTTTCACCCATTGTACCACTTTTAGGATATGGCAATATCCGAGTACCACCAGTCAAGCAAGGTGTCAAAAACTTGATGACCAAAAAAAAAAAAAGGAAAAAGTGATAAAGTACAGGTAGTCCTCGACTTACAACAGTTTGCTTAATGACTGTCCGAAGTTACAATGGCACTGAAAAAAGTGCCCCCCAAGCCACAGCCGAGCAAGACACCTGCCTGCCCACCCGGCGGCGGTCTTCCTCCTGTTCGAGGTTTTCATTGTTGTTAGCATTTTTGTTGGGGATTGGCAGCGGGGGTGGGGTGGGGGGTGTTTGGTTTTTATTCCCCCCGTCTGCTGGGTGGTTGCAGCAGGTTTTGGTCACTTCACATGACCCTGGGACACTGTGACCGTCATAAATAGGAATCAGTTGCCAAGCATCTGAATGTAAATCACAAGACCCTGGAGATGCTGCAACATTCCAGCTGATTAGTGCTTCTTCAGGGCTCAGCAGAAGCACCAGGATCAGCGCCGAGCTCCAGCTGGAGCCTGGCGCTGATCCTGGTGCTTCCACTGAGCCCTGACAGCCCCGAAGCGCCGTTCAGCTGGAAAGCGGCACTGATCCTGGCGCTTCCTCTGAGCACTGCAGCTCCAGCCATCTCTTGCTCAGGCTTGTGTGGTGCTGCCACCAGTTCAGTTCATTCCCCTCCCCCGCTACCACTGTTCTAGGATGGTCGTGTACCACCTGCCAGGTGCCAATGTACCACAGGTGGTACCCGTACCACTGGTTGAAAAGCCCTGGTCTAGTCTGTATTTTTATTTTTCCTTTTATTCTTCCTGCTTTTTCGAGGCAGAGGCTAGAGAGAGATGGATTAGAGGGGATGATACACACACGAGTGCTACGAACGGAGAAGGGGGAATGGAGGATATAGAGCGAATAGCAGCAACGGACTCACAATCTAGCAGAGCAACAGGAGCTGATTGGAGTCGGAGCAAGACGCACGGTGCTCCTCCCCCTCCTTTCTCTTCTTGCCTGCATGTCGTGCCCTCTCGGGAATTCCTTCTCTCACAACACCTCCTCCCGTTCCCCTTATGCCTCTATCGCTGGTAGGTTTTTCCCCCCCTCCTCTAGGTTACACTAGGTTCTTGACAACCTTACTCATTGCTCCCCTGCCCCCTATGACATATATACTTTTTCTCCTTCTTGAACGTGTTTAACACTGATGTCATAGACACATTTAGAACACACCCTAGTCAGCTGGGCCCGATGACGAGGTCCAAAAGCCGGATGCTGGCGTTATCCAACGCTATATAAGTCACTCCCAAAGTCTAGTCTTAAACCCTGACGATGTCGGAAGTTTCCGACGAAAGCTCGGTATTTATTAAAACTTTTCTACTTTGAATTTTCCTGGTGATCGTGATTGTTTTATCGTTTGACATATATATATGTCAAACATATATATCGTTATCGTTTGACATACATATATATATATATATCATCGTTTGACATATACATATATATATATATATAGTACAAAATAAAAATGCGAACACCAGGAGAATATAAGACAGTTAAAAGTTTAGTAAAAACCTTAAAAACTTTTAAAAGCATACAATCATAGGGGCCAAGCTTTCGTCGGATCCTTCCGACATCCTCAGGGCACAAAGTCAATCAATGGGAAAAGCAGTTATAAATAAACCAACGCCTGCATCCGGGCCCTAGATCTCGTGATAGGGCCGTGATAACCAATCATTGTAACATTCTCATTAACCCCTTTAACTATCCGTCTATCCTTATTTCTGCTGCCTTTCCGTGTCAAACCACCATAGGGGCGTATCACCTCATTAGGTTTACAATCACTCTCCAGATGTTTCCTCTCATTATAGAATGGAGTGTCTTTTACAATCCATCGTCTCCCCTTGTTGAAAATCATCCTTCCCACCATCCCATTTGTTCATATGGGGTTCTGACACAGAGGCACATCCCTCCAGTTTATCAGAAGGTCTCCCTCTGATAAAAACATCTGGAGAGTGATTGTAAACCTAATGAGGTGATACGCCCCCATGGTGGTTTGACACGGAAAGGCAGCAGAAATAAGGATAGAAGGATAGTTAAAGGGGTTAATGAGAATGTTACAATGATTGGTTATCACGGCCCTATCACGAGATCAAGGGCCCGGATGCAGGCGTCGGTTTATTTATAACTGCTTTTCCCATTGATTGACTTTGTGCCCTGAGGATGTCGGAAGGATCCGACGAAAGCTTGGCCCCTATGATTGTATGCTTTTAAAAGTTTTAAAGGTTTTTACTAAACTTTTAACTGTCTTATATTCTCCTGGTGTTCGCATTTTTATTTTGTACCATGGATATTCCCAGGAGTCATTCGTCTGTCTTTTATGTTATTTGCAACCATATATATATATATATATATATATATATATAACGTGCACATCTTTCTTGATAAAAAGAAGACAAGCATAGTTTTACTTAATTTATGCCTAATCTGAGTACAGAGAGAGGAAAGGTAGTCCTCGATCTAAGACCATTTGCTTAGCAAACATTTGAAGTTATGATGGTACTAGGAAAAAGTGACCTACAGACAGTCTTTGCACTTGTGATCATCACAATATCCTAATGGTCATGTGATCAAAATTCAGGTGCAGACCCTGGGTGCAGAGTCCCAGGGTCATGTGATCTCCATTTGTGACCTTCCCAACTGGCTTCTGACAAGCAAAGTCAATGTGGGAAGCTGAATTTGCTTAATGACCATGTGATTCATTTAATGACTGATGATACACAATCATGGCAAAGTCATAAAAGTGCACACAACTCACTTAATGACTATCTTGCTAAGTGATATTTCAAGGTCAGAGTCAACACCAGTATTCATCTCCTGATGGATATATATATATAGTTTCTCTATGTTTAATTTCAGATTTTGATTCTATAAGGTATAGTTTTAAAGAAGTAAAAATAAAACATAAATTTACCGTCTTTAATTTGTACCGCTCGGTTTTGTAAGACACACGTTGTTTATCTTACATTTCTCTTACGATAGCTCCAAGGACAAGAATAAAAAATGGTAAATTTTACCCAAGGAAGTAAGAGTGCTCAAGATGACAGGATGAATGTACAGAGGACAGGACTGTCCTAGGTGGCTTATTACTAGACCCCACAATATTGAAGCTCAGTGTGTGAAAGTGTTAGTTGAAAAACATGGTGGTAGAAAAATCAAGAATGAATTTCTTCTGAAGAAGACAGACTAGCAGAAGTGACAAAAATGCTATCAATCAGTTTAAAAACGACTAATGATTTATAGTTCAATCAAAGACAAATGGATTTTTGCATCACGTGTATTAATTCTCAGATACTGATTTGCCTCTTTGGATGCCTTCAACTATCCCCCCAAATCCTTGAGTATCTAAACTCAGGTGACAAGTTTAGCTAATCAGTAAAAGCAATGTCTGTTGAGAATTGAGCAGACTCTGCCATCAAAAGCAAAAAAAAGCTGGAGGGAAAAAAAACTGTACAAATAATATAAGAGCCATTAGTGACCTTTATATAGTTCGTTTTAATGCACTTGTCAGAGGCTAATTTTTGCTAGGATGGGTAGGAGCAAGAAAAATGAGAGATACAACATTGTTAATATTGCACATTGTTAGCTTTCTTACAGATATTGGGATGTTTCAAAGAAGCAGTAAACACCATGTTAAGTATCCTTTCAGAATTGAAGTTTCATCAGATAAGCTATCTATAATATAATTAACATACTGAAGAAAAGGGCTATTACAGTTCTGCTTACTGCCAATATTAAAAGGGTTGTAACTAGCAAAATATAGCAATAAAAGTACAGTTTAATGTAGATAGCACAACATTTAAGTAATGGAGTATATATGTGTGTTCGTGTGTGTGTTTGTATATATAATTACACATTGTAATTTATATTTGCCTTACCAAGACAGTTCTCTGCAATGTTTTCCAAACGATACTGCTTATAAATAATACTGTTAACATCAACCTTACAACCCATTTTTTCATAGAGTTGCAGCTGCCACTCAAAGCCTTCATTCATCCTAAAAGAAAGCAAAAGAAAACTGAGAGATCAGAGAATGTGTATTTTAAACCTCATGAGAAAACACTTTTGCCAAAGGAAAAATAAATCATACTTAGCATCAGGTTTGATGGCCTGAACAAAGGCATAGGCCTCTTGAAAAGTAAGATGATTAGTTTTCATTAAATAGGCAGTTACAATGGCAACACTTCGACTAACTCCAGCATGACTGTAAAAAAGAACAGGAAGACATAAGTGAAGTACTGTTTCCCTCATATATACCACAAAATATATCATTCCTTTTAAACTATATTTGCACCTAGAGTGCTGCTTTTTATAATGCATTTTAACTCAGGATCAGGAAGCAGAAGGCTGAGCACACCTCCCTCATCTCATTTTTGACAGCTGCATTAATATAATGCTACAAAATCAGGGAATCTAATCTTTCCCCAGTTCCCACTAGACTGCTTGGATGCAAAACAATTATTATGTATCATGATTATCATGAAATCCCCCACTTATTCAACCCTGGCAATTTTTGACATTACGTGACAGGAAGTTTCAGGTTGGTCTTTACTGTAATGGTTGGATGATGACAATTCTACACTAACAATAGTTTATTCATACATTCTGAACAAAAAAATAAGCCCCTTAAGAGCGTAACTGAAACAACAGTGTACCATTTAATCCTATGAAAATTAGGGCAATAACAGCATTTGTCATCAATGTATCAGTGATTATAATAAAAAAGAACTAACCTAGGAAAAGAAAACTATATTCTACATTCCACAATCAAATACATTTTGTTGATCAGCAATTATATTAATCAGTTTAAAAAGTGTTGGGCAGAACTTTTTAAAGCATTTTTTCAGTACTGTGACTGACAAAAAGACCTTGCCACAAGTTAATGTAGTGTACAGTTCCTCTTAAGATTTGACAAGGGAAAAGGCAAAATGAAAATTCAGGAAAAGAATGACAGCAATTTAAAAACCATCCTATTATTTGGGTTCACAAATCACAATAAACCATCATGTGACTTTTTTTTTTAACCGAGAATGAGATATGGTGTCAATTACAGTGAATTTTAAAGTAAGGTTTACATTTTGGGAGTATTTGCACACTCAGCAACAATTCTCTGCAAGTGGATTGCAGCATTAAATACCCACACACACACACCTCCAGGCAACCTTTTAACTTAGGTATTAGGCTTACAAATATCTCAAAAACTCTTTAACCCAGATATTACACAGCTTTAGGTAAAAGGAATAACACGGTGAACTCCAAAGCTCAAACGGAGTGGGCGGGGCTTTGTGACGTAACAAAGACAGTCTGGGAGGTTTTCTACGGAAGACGCGGGGAAAGTGCGGGCTGTCTGCAGCAAATAGTGGCTGTAAAGTAAATGATCCATGGAGGAACGCCGTATTTGGACCGGTTTATGTTTTTAAATACATAAAACCTTAAATCCGGTTGACACATGATTATACCCTAATGAGGGCAGAAATTTTCTTCTATACCTTCAAGAAGGCCAGCTGCACTATAATCAAGGATTCCTCTATCCTGATTTCTACTCCGAAACGTTGCTCAAAGCTAGTATAGCACAACAACAACGCGGTTGGGCTTTTGCCGGTCACATCCAGGCCACAGCCACCCCACCTCCCAAGCAGTCTCCTTAGGCCGGGCTCACCAGCGCACCAGGGCGCTTCCGCCGCCCTCCAGGACTTGGCTAAGAAAAGCCACGCAGTCGTCCAAGCGACTCAGCAGATCGCTCTGCGGACAGTCCAGCGCCTGGACAAACAGCGTGCTCTCAAAGCCCGCAAGCGCAGCGGCTCCGGCCGGCTCCGAGTCCACCTGCAGCAGCGCCGTGACGGCGGGCTTTCCGGAACCGTCTGCCGAGGCAAGATCGGCGCCGCTCAGATACAGCTGCGGAAGCACCGGCACCATGGCCTCCGCGCGGCTAGGAGGAAACGACGGAGGCTCCCGTTGCCCCGCCCTCACAGCGCCAGTCCCTGGCTCGGCGTGCGGCGGCGAATACGAAAGATGAACCCAGGGAAGTGGAGACTTCCAAGAGCGGAAACGACTTCTAATTCCTTTAAATTGTTTCTCAAATTGTGCAACTGTTAAGATGTGCGGACTTCAGCTCCCAGAATTCCCCAGCCCCATGGCTGGCTGAAGGATTCTGGGAGTTGAAGTCCACACATCTTACTGTTGCCCAGTTTGAGAAACATTTCTGAGTTTAGATCTTTTCTCTGTCATCCCGCCCCCACCTCCACTTCCCATTTAAAAGGAAAAAACAAAAGATATATATTGTTATCATTGCATTGGGACCCCAGGTTATCTCGGCCTTGGCTGCTAACTCTTCTTGAGGAAGGGGCCTTAGGAAAGGGGTAACATTAGGTGAATTATATTTTTAAATAAACATGGTCGATAATAGGAGAATCCTAAGTGTCAAACACACAATTGCCTAATTGACTCCACTAGGGGTACTGTTCTTTATTAATGTTTATTTTCAAAAATGGTCTCAAAGTGATGTTATTTTCTATTATTTTAGGGGTAAGCAATGTTACATGCAGTTCAAAAAAAGTACAAAATGCTGAAGCAAACTAAGGAAAAGAAGACACAATTAAAACTGGTTTACACAAACACTATTTATTATAGATCTGTACCTGCTAATTACTTTTGTATTCAATCCACATTCATTCAGCATCTATTTTTGTGTTTTCTTCTTCTTTAATGCCCCATTCCCACTGCATTCAACTGATTTTTTTATTTCTCTTGATGTACCCATGTTTCCCCAAAAAATAAGACTCGCTTTTATATATTTTTTTGCCTCCAAAGAGGCACCAGGTCTTATTTTCGGGGAATGTCTTACTCACTTACCTTAGGACCGCTGCAGCCAGGCCTTCCACACCCCGAAACCTGTCATGCCAATACCCTCCTGGAAATTCTGTAGCCTAAATAATTTAGTCGGGTCTGATGGAATTCACACTTCGACAATTTAACATATAGTTTGGCATTTAATAGTTTCTTTAACACCTCTCACACTAGTTTCACATGGTCAGCCATATTCTTGCTGTATATCAGGATGTCATCAAGATACACCAAAACCCCTTTGTACAAATGATCGTGTAGCACCTGGTTGATCAGCTGCATGAAGACAGCTGGAGCCCCCTGTAGTCTAAATGGCATAACTTTGAACTGGTAGCTGCTCATAGGACAGTTAAAAGCGGTCTTCCATTCATCTCCTTTTCTTATTCATACTCGGTAGTATGCTTCTCTTAGGTCTAATTTAGTGAAGACGCATCCCTTTGCTAGATGGGTTAGGTCCTTCAGGAGGGGGAGGGGTACTTGTTTTCTATGCTCACAGCATTGAACCCCTTATAATCCACGCAGATGAAGCGATCCGTCTTTTTCCTCTTTAAATAACACCGGAGCCCCCACCTGGGACTTAGCCAGCTCAGTGAAGCCTCTCGCTAGTTTTTTGTTCACATATTGCTGTAGTTCATCCATTTCGAGGGGGGTCATAGCGTACATTCTCAGCCTTGGGAGTTTGGCCTCCACTAATAGTTCAATGGCGCAGTCATTTGGCCGATGGGGTGACAGGATGTCACATTCTTTCTCACTAAACACCCCTGCTAAGTCCCAGTACTCGCTGGGAATGAGTGGTTCGCCCAGCCAGGGAATGGGAGCAATCTTTGCTGATTCGGTAAATGGCTTAGGCCCCCAGTCACGTCGGCAGATTCAAGAGGGGGCTTGGGCCCTATGGGAAATCTCACAGTCCTCATCCCCTTTTCCCACCAGATAAAAGGTTTCCACTTGTTTAACCAGGCTAGACTTAAAATCACAGTCTCAGTCATCTTTGGGGCCACCACAAAACAGATGAACTCCCAATGTTCACCTATTTCTAAGTGTATAGGTTCCGTCAGATGGGTGACTAAAGTCCCTCCCATTAAGGAGCCATCTGCCTGTTTGAACCTCATGGGCCTGGAGAGCAATCTTGCTCGTATACCCATCTTGAGGGCAATTGGCAAACTGATAAGGCACCCAGGAACATCCTGAGTCCACTAACACTTTCAGATCCATTTGTACCCCTGTCTTAGGGACTATGAGCTTGGCAGCGAGAGAAAAAGGTGGAACGGGTCAACTCACCATCGGGTCATTCTCTCTTTTGTCGTCGCTGTCGTAGGAGGGCAGAGCGGCAGTAGGTCTGGCTTGGGCCTCAGCACTCTCCTGTGTGGGTGATGTGACCTGGGTAATGGGCTCTTGCGTGATCCTGCTTGATTTCTCTGTTGCCAGCTGTTGGGCTGGTTTCTTCCTCACCGGTGGCCCCAATCTACTCCTTGTTGGGGGTACGGGATCAGGAAATTCTCCGATCGGTGCCCCTCTTGTTCACACCTGAAGCATTTGATTGGTGGACCGGCAGGTAGCTTGGGGTTTTCCGCAGCTGCAATGGCTGGGGGTTTTCGTGGAGGCAGCCACCTGGTCTGCTCTGGTATCGACCCAGCTTCTGGAAGGGATGGTTTCTTGTAATGAGCAAGCTCGACATCCAATCTCACTGCCACCTGATATCACTCTTGCAATTGATGAGGGACAGCTTGATAGACGCAGGCCTGGGAAAGGTGATCATCGAGCTCCTACTTGAAGTGATGCACTAGGGATTGCTCAGGCCACCTTTCAATCCGATCTGCTATCTTGCAAAACTCTTGTACATATTCCAGTGCAGGTCTACCGTCTTGCTTTATTTTGTGAATCTGCTGTTCTGCTTTGAGGGCTATGGATTGGCCCTCGAACCTGGTCCTCAATCTAAGAAGGAAGAGATAGAGATTGTTCTCAGTTCGGGCACCTGCTCATTGTACAGATTTTTTAGCCACTCAGATGCTTCCCCTTCCAGATTAGCTGCGACAACGTCAACCTTGGCAGCTGGATCTGGGTAGAAATTGGCTTTGTGATTCATGTGGGAACGTACTTGATTGAGGAAGAAAATCAGTTTCTCTGGATCACCATAAAAAGTCGCTTTAAGGGGTGGTGCCATCATGGGCTGCTCCCCCCCCCCATTGCTGCTGCACTCCTAACGGCTGTTGGCCTCCCTGCAGTGGCTGCTGCACTCCCAATGGTTGTTGACCTCCCAACAGTGGCTGCGGCATTCCCAATTGCTACAGGCCCCCCAGCAGTTGCTGAGCATTCATGGGCTGCGCCCCCCCATAGCTGCTGCATTCCTAATGGTTGTTGACCTCCCGGCGGCAGTGGCATCCCCAATTGCTGCAGGCCCCCCAGTGGCTGCGGCATCCCAACCTGTTGCTGCCTGGGTCTTCTCTCTGCACAGGCCTCAGGCTCGGGCGGTGCTGAAGGTGATGCTCAGGGCTGTGTGACTGATAGTAACGATGGTCAGGGCTCCTACGATATCTGTGACTATCTGGGCTTCGACTGTACCAGTGATGGCTCAGGCTTTGGTAGCAAGGGCGTCTGTTGGGGCTGTCATCGTAGTCCCTCTATCTGGAACTATCGTGGTGGCGGCGCCTGTCAGGAGATTGCAATGATCGATGCTGAACAGGGCTTCTCTGGTAGCTGGGGCTCTTGTGTCGCAAGCGTGCTCTGGAGTCCTAGAGGGGCGTGTCCCAAGTGGCGGCCGGGACTCTCCTTCCTCACCGGGCTGGAGGTTAACGCTGGTGGCTTTGAAGATGGGGAAGCCGCTCAAACTCCATCAGTGGGGCTGGGCTCCTCTTAGGCACAAATTGGCGTCAGCCTCGCCGGTCATCGTGTTCACCTGCATGCGAGGAGTGGGAAAGTTGCTCCCCGCTTCTCACCTCTAGCCCCTCGAATCTCTCCACTAACTTCTCCACCAATTGGCTGCAGACTGTAGACAGGTACTTCCATTCTCCAGAGTGCTCAGTGTCTGCCAATCTCGTGGCCCCCTAACGGTCTGGGGAGCATGATTCTCTAGAGGCTCCTGCCTGCAAGTCAGCTTCGGACACTTTCGAAGAGCTCATTTTGGGCAGGGTTGCCTCAAAATGCCTGGAGTCTCCGCTGGGCAGGGTCCACTGCAATGACCAGATCAGCTCTTGCGTCTTTGGTCTTGCCCCCAGCTGCAAGGCTTCTAAAATTTCCTTCTCCACCGGTGCAATGTCTTGCACTCCCTCCGCTGAGGCAGCAGCCATGGCCAGGGTGCTGGTTACAGGTGCTTCTTCCTTCACCATGCTGAGATCTTCCCAGAGTCTTTGTCAGCCTATCCCTCAATTTTGGGAAGGTGACTGGACCCCAAGGTGGTCAAGGTAGAAAGGAGTTTTGGGTTAATGTCATGGTTGTGATAGATGAAACCCATCAAAAGAACTTCAAGGCAAGAATTCTTCCTCAAAGAACGTTTTATTAGGGAAACAAAGTATAGGCACTACATAGTTGAACCCAAAACTAGATTCCCTTCCCCCAGATACAAAGTAACAGAAGGCAAGTCCCACCTCCACAAAGCAGTCATAAATCACATTCTCCAATTAGCCAGGAGGGTGGGCTCTCTTCCCAACTCTTCAGCCCACCAAAACATTATCAGTTTGTGTCCTTGAGTTTCCCACAGAGCTGCATTGTTATTATGCATTCACCCCATCCCCCCTTCAACATCTAATTTCTAAACAGAAGAAAAAGCATGTTAAAAGCAAAGTAAAAATAGCTGCAATTTCCATCAGTTGTCAGAGCAGGAACATCCAATGTTACAGCATTGACACCAGTTGCTACTCATCAACTTACTTAATACTTTCCATACTTTTCCTTCACTTTAGTAAATGCTGTAAAGACACAGAATTTCACCTTGTGAAAAAAATATTCCTGAAGACTAAAATATAATCTTCTAGGCATATATTACAGGAAAAGTTGAGGAAGTCCTCAGCTGACAAAGGATGCTTTTCTCAAATCCTTTTTTAGGTGCCAACAGTGTTTTAACTAATTCCTTCTATATGTGGAAAAAGGCAAGTATGC